TTTCGGCGAACTTCTCGGCGAACTTCCGATGAACTTCCGGCGAACTCCCGACGAACTCTCAGCGAACTCCCAACGAACTCTCGGCGAGCTTCCGGCAAACTTCCGACACATCGTCTGAATCTTCGACGTATCGTCCAATCTTTGACTCTGGCACAACATCTGCTTTATGCCTTGCTGCTATCGTAGTTAATCCTGCACACTTATCTCAACATATAGATTAGATCAATCACTTTACTAATTGATTTCATCATTAAAATCCGAGATTCAACAATAACATCCAACTTGACAGCCTTTAAAGCAATTCAAAGACATTTTGTTTCGCAGTCATTGATTTGAACATGGAAATGCATCCATTTGAGTACTAATCAGACCCTTCTTTAAAGGTCTAGAAAAGGTTTACCATGGATGGACCCTTCCATGGTTTAGATCTGTAATGGACTGGTTTTATCACTCATTTGTTGGCTAACTATGCAATGGGAAATAAGGTTAACATCAATATGGATACTTCATTTCCTGATACTTCTTTGGTCTTTCAGGACTTGCATGTAATGGGAAGTGGGAACCAGTAGTCAATGAGGCATTCTTTTGAAGTAATATAGTATGTATCTTTTTTAGAAAAAAAAAAAAAAACTTTTCTGAGTGTCCATACTCATGCATTGTGCTTAAAAATGAGTTAATAAGCTTTATGCTTCATCATCATAATATACTTTAAGAAGAGTGATCGAGTTTTGCTACTTTCCGTCCATATAAGTGCCTATATCTCATGACCTTATAATGTTGGGATACAGGAACAGAAGCTCCTAATGTTGCTTTTGTTGTTGTACTTTTTGATTGTTACCTTTTCAGACTTTCTTCAGAGACTATATGGGAGTCCCTCTATATATGGAGCCAAATTTTAGTGACTATAGCTGTCAGGTACTGTTTCCATTGCTCAATTGCTGTAGCTCACCAGTTGTGCTTTAGGTTTCCAATGTACATAATCCTTTGGTCACGGTCTGTATCTCAGCAAACACAAGTGTTTTGCCAGGATGATTAGCTTATTTCAATTTCAGGATAAACATCCGTGATCTTTTAACGAAACACTAATTTGCAATCTCATTTGATTCTGCAGTTCAATTTTGGGGTTCCTCCTCCACCACCTGCTAGTGATAAAGCCCTCCAAGAGCCTTGCTTGGCAATATGCCCAAATGCCAGCCGCCGCAGAGAGCTTAGTGGCAGAGAAATTGAGCAATGCCCCAAAGTGTAAATTTTCATCGACTCTCTATCTTGCCATAATTCTCATTTTCAGTATATTTACTCTTGAAATAATTTTAGAATGCTAGGATCTGTAGATTGACTTTGAAATCACCTTGGCATATTTGGACAAAACCATGAAAAATGTCAAACAGATATATCTATCCTATTCTTTTGTTTCCTCCTGGAAAATTAGTTGCACGTTCCTTGAATGTATGTATCCATGGTTCTGTAAAGTGATGAAAGTTGAAGCAATTTTACATAAAAATATATATATTAACATATGCATATCAGTTACTAACCAAGTTTTATCACTATGCAGTTGAATTATAGCAATGAGTTTGTTAAAGTATCTATCACATGGATAAAAGTTAATGTTTTTGGACCAAGCAAGTACAATAAAATACCACCTGAAGCACTTTCAGCTAGATAAGAGTCCCCTTTCCAATGTTTCCGAAGGATTCGAGCAATCTTTCATACTGATGCGCGGTAGCATGTCTTTTTTTTTTATTTAATAAAATTAATGTTGGTTGGTTTTTGTATGGTATAGACAATTTAGAAAAAATCGAGATAAAATTCATGAGAGATTGTCTTCTTATATCTCAAAATTTTGAATTAAAATAAATTATTCTGAGAGGTAAGGAGACAAGTGGCGTAACCCAACTTGTTCGATATCAACGTTTTAGATTTAGAGATCAAATTTGTGATTAGATTTCAACGAGTGAATTGTAATTTTTAATCGTTATGAATGTGTCGAGATGATACAAATTTTTAATTCATATCATTTATCCATTATAATAATAATAATAATAAGAATAACAACAACAATAATAAGAAGATAGCCATCTTGTCTTCTAATCACAAGGCAGGTCGGATATAAATCGGTAGGAAGAGTCTGATTAATTGCTCAAAATCTAAGGTATCTTTAATTGAGGTTACATGGAACCTTCCCATTGGCTTGAAGAGGATAAGAGATATCTATCCTCGTCGTCTTCATCAAATTAAACACCGTTGTGCTGCATCCTTCCCTGCCATTGCACTCCATCCATCGCTGTGCCACATAGCTAAATCCATGGCAACGGTACTGGCTGGCATCAGCATCTCCATCCCAAGAGTCCTCGTCTCCACGAAGGCAGAGCTCCCCAAGCCGCCATTGTCCCGCACGAGGCTCCCCCCATGGACCAGCGGCCACCGAGTGAACTCCCGCCGTGCGGGTCTCGTCGCCAGCGCGCCCTCGATGCCACCCAACATCTCGGAGAAGGTGGCGGAAAGCATAAAGAACGCAGAGGCGACGTGCGCGGAAGATGCCGCCAGCGGAGAGTGCGCCGCGGCGTGGGATGAGGTCGAGGAGCTGAGCGCGGCGGCCAGCCACGCCAGGGACAAGCTCAAGGTCGACGACCCCCTCGAGAGCTTCTGCAAGGACAGCCCTGATAACGAGGAGTGCCGCACCTACGAGGATTAGAAGAGGGAGAGGTAAAGCAGCAGTCATCCATCCATCCATCCATCAGAGGTATCAGGAAAAGTTCAGCTACCGTTGTTTGGTTAAGAATCAATCCAAGTTATATTTGTGTTCCAATCCAGAATCTTCGGAGTTGTTTCATCCTCTTTGTATGAACACTTGATCTTAGTTGGCGTTCAGTAGATTAAAATGAGCCATTCTCCCTATAGGATTCATGATCAACACAGCCATTGTTGTTTGATCAAAATAGTTGTCATTTTGGGATCCATACCGTCGTGTTACGATTTTTAAATCAAAGAGGAGTCTGAGTTATTATTAATTTAACCCAAACTTCATGATTATTAAGTTATGATCAGGCTTAATAAATATCGACCGACTCTTTATGATATGAGATTATTATCTCTTATTATTTTTTTTAATCTTTATTCATCCTGCGTTCACCATGATGAGATGATTAAAATCGCGACACTTTGCACGCACGACAAAGATGAAGGTCTGAATTGCCATAGTATGGGTGTCTTGTGCGAGTAGCAATCTCCGACGTATACGATACGCTTCTGCGAGACAACAGATTGTCTCTGAAACTTCAGCCACACAAAGCCTGGACCAGAATTTTGGCACTTTCCTCTTTGACAGATCGAAAAGAACCAGTCCAATGCATATGTATTCTACCGAAAATGATGCTTTGTCTTACGGATGATAAGAACAAGGCTAATGCACCCGTATTCTACCGAAGACAGCTCTTTGTCTTGAAGAACAAGGCTAATGCACCCGTATTCTACCGAAGACCGCACTTTGTCTTGCGGATGATAAGAACAAGGCTAATGCACCTGTATTCTACCACAGACAATGCTTTGTCTTGCGGATGATAAAGAACAAGGCTAATGCACCTGTATTCTACCGAAGATAGCACTGTCTTGCAGATGATAAGAACAAGGCTAATGCACTTGTATACTCCTGTAAGCACTGGAATACAAAAGATCAAGGTTGAAATCTTAAAATAATCTTTTTCTTTAAATATAGAGATAAAGCTGCATACATCATTTGATTCTTTTACTGTCGAAGAATAAAAATAAAAATAAAAATAAAAGGAGAGAGGGGGGTGCGGTGTGTGGGGTGTTGGGATAGTTTGATAATTGAGATAAAAAATAAAAATAATATTTTTATTTGTTTGTCAAAAAATGAGTCTCCTTTTAATCAGGGATAAACTTTTCCTTGGGTTAATTATAGATTACCCTTATAGTTAGATCTCTTTAATATCTCGATCCTTAAACTTAAAAAATTTATATTAAAAACATAAAGATAAAACTGCATATATCATTTGATTCTTTTACCGTCCAAGAATAACACAAAAAAAGAAGAAATAGTTTGATAATTGAGATAAAAAATAAAAATAATATTTTTAGAAATTTATAGGATGATATTTTCATTTGTTTGTCAGAAAATAAGTCCCCCTGAATGGGGGATCACTTTTCCTTGATATCGAGCTTGGTGTATCGATAATCAAATTTCGACACACTACAATATCTTCCTACTTTTATATAAAAAAATATATACGTACTTAAAAATAAGAAGATTGTTGATCCTCTTCGATCCCACATTAGTAGAAGGCTCGTACAATTTAGTACATAAAAAGTCATCCCAAATCATAAAATTGCAAATCAGTATAAATAGAATTTAGTGATGATTAATTAATGTTTGTCATCAATTTGTTATGATCCGTCCATAACAAGATTCAGTGACATAATATAAATCTGACCGAAAGAAGTATATTCTAATGACAACAATATTACAACCAATTTGTGATCCAACATATAATGACCGATGAATTATAAAAAGTCAAAAATATATATTTTAGTGACAGAAAGTATTATATAATTTTGTTTTCCATAACACAAATTGTCACTAATGAGTAACTTTCTTGCATCACAATGCAAATATACCTTTTTCTGCAAAAGCACAAATCATGAGCTGATGTGATGTGAAAAATAAAGAAAGAAAATGTGCTGTTAATTCCGGGTATGAGTTGAATGTACATGTGGCTATCATGACAAAATGCAAGAAGACAAATAAGGTAGAAGCTGTTTGACATCAGCTTGCTTATGAAGAGGACATCTCTGCAGACCAGATGGAGGATATCACAAATACCATGGAAGGATTCCAGTTAGCAAGTGGATGACGAGATTAAAGACATCTAATTCTGCTGCAATTCGAAAACATCCATCTCTATTTTTCGTAAACGTATTTCTTCTTTCAATTCCAAATTTACTCAAAGAACATGTACAATGAATAAAGAATGCAAGCCAGAAAACAATTATACAACGACGACAAATAATGTTCCAAAGAGTAACAATTGAGGGAAAAGAAATGATAACCAGCTTATGCACATGCCTTGATGCTATCAGCCAGCCGAATAGCTTCATTGATTCCTTTCCCCCAGGAAAAAGCTGCTAAAGCCGGAATGCCGTTTAGTGGTGTCGGAACCCACTGCGATCAAAAGAGGCCACCAGACCTTGCGGCGGCATCGCTCCCTCTTCACCTTTCTGATAAGGATTAATTCATGGCGGATCACCGCACGGACAGACGTCAAGTAGGAACGCATGTCATGGTCTCTAGACACTGCCCCTTCAGAGCCATATGCGGTGCGATCACTGAGAATCTCGAGAGGATGGGGAGAGTTTATGAACGCTGACCGTGCAGCCTGCAGTAGCCTTTCAGAGTCATCTGAATCCGTTGATGAATTGCCAAAGACGTAGAGACCACTGCCCGGTGGAAGAAGGTGATGGTAAGGTGAAAACTCATCTTCAGGTTGTAAGATCAATAGTCTTCCCATAGGAGCATACAACAGTTTCTGTTGAGAAAAGGTAGAAAAGAAGTTTGATTGATACAGTGCTTCATGGAAGTAAGATTAATCAATACCGAATAGACCAATGAAAGCATAAGAAACATAATATAGATCTGGTGCAATGCATTTATCAGAAACAGATAGCCATTATCATGTAGGTTTCTGACTGAAAGCAGAAACAGAAGATTAATCATACCGAATAGACCAATGAAAGCATAAGAAACATGATATAGATTTGGTAAAATGAAATTATCAGAAACAAAGATTCTGTTGAAATTGTTTATCGAACCAATAGCAACCTTCAAGCATTATTGAACTCGAAAGATAACTACGACGAATGGAAGCTTTAACAAGCAAACTAGAGAGCAGGCACAAGTTTGATGGCAGCATCCACCATTTAGTACAATAGTTTGATATTATAATAAATACAGGTCAAGTGTTGACATGAAATATCAGACATAACATAATTGCCTTCAACATATAAGTTGTATCAGGATACTAAGCACTTTAAAGCATCTTTCAATCTTAAATGAGATGTGACAAGTATATGACCCAAATCAACACAGAAGAAGTTATATGGTGCAGATGTATTCTACCTGTTTCATTAGACATGGATGCCTACGGAAGTTGTGGTTCACCGCCTTTAGAATCTTAGCAACATGATCAGGATAGTGGCAAGAAAAGGCTCGAGGAACAATATCTCTATGCATTGTTATAGCTTGGACATGACTTCTAGTCAAACCCAATTTGTGAAGCAAAGAATCACCTCCACACATGATAGATGGTGAACCGAATGTTATAACGGGCAGTAAGGACGAAGCAGGTGCTTCTCCACGTATGATTAACATGAGGTTTAGAAGCAGCGCAAGGCTTCCACCAAGAGAATGGCCAGTGAAGCGCAGAGTTGCAGAGTCACCATGAGACTCCAAGTGAGCTTTGATCTCGGGCAACATCTGTTGATACATTCCCTTAGCAACTTCATAGATTCCCCGGTGTACAAGCACATCTAGAGCCTGGACCACAAAAGAAAAATATTAATGGCTAAGTCTCATAGACATAAAAAACAAATTCAAACAAACTGGTTATATGGGAAAAATGTGGCTCAATGTACAACACTCCCGCTAACACAACATCTGAGGACCAATGCATACCACAACTCAAATCCTAGTCACTGATGTTTCCCTGTCCAAAAGCTGATTAGGCTGCTCAAAGTCAAGATTACTTCATTTGGGAACTAAATATTGTGACAAAGCTTATGAATGTATTATCCTCATGATACTAGGTTAGTCTAAAAACAATTTCAACTTAGGGCAGGTAGCAACTCATGTTTGATTTAATCAAGCCCCACAACAATGACGGAACCAGATCTTACTTTCTAGGGGCTACCGACAAAAATATTTCATCCATATCATAGAGTCTAAGTAAAAGGTAGAAAATCTGGCACAAAAGAGAACCTAAGTAGTAAACATCATCGATAGGCATCACCTCAAATTGGATAGGTTCAAATAGGAGATTTGCTTGCCAAGAAGCCAGCGATTCAGAACCCTGAAAGAACCAGAAAATTTAAAGATCAAAGTTAAACCAAAAGTGTTCTATATGACTACATGAAAAGAAATGTTAGAAGATGTAAAAAGAAACCTCACTTGAATGACAAAATATCTGGTACTGCTGCTGTCGTCATCGCATATGTACCATTCACAAGGTGAATTCTTCGCCGAGTTCAAGTCCTTTGCAACGGCATCTTTCATCTCTTCCTTCCCAGCAACCACGGCGGTTACTGAATTTGTAGTGGCCACAAAGGACATCTCCTTGAGACTCTTAATTGTACCTTTTTCTTCATTTTCTCCACTTTCCTCAGTTGGATCCTTGCTCGTTTCCGATTTAGCAGAATTGAAGGGAAGAATGCCCAGTGTCTTGGACTGCAAGTAGGAGGCAGCAGAAGCTGCAATTCGATAAGCCACAAAATCATTTATACCAGTACCATTTTCCTTCCTTTCACTACTATTTTGCCTCTTTTCATTGCTCCCTTCTGCTTGACTGATCTCCTCGAGTTCTTGATCCTGAACTGGAGTCTGCTTTTTATCAGAAGCTGAAGACTTCCCTCTTTGATCAAATGAAGAGGTAACGAACCGCAAAGCATAGCGCTTAAGGAGGCCTTTTGGCTGCAGAATTTGTAAACAAACATTGAAGCCAAGACCTCAGAATTTTCTCGCTGGAAAAAGCTTAAACATCGCATAAAACTCAGTAAGCATCATATAGTTGGGATTCATTCATCAATCCTTCTAATTCTTTCATAAATTGACTTGACAAACGTCCCTCACACATAATATGACATTCATGAAATAGACAGCCATTGACTTATAAGAAAGAAAATGGTGAAACCATGAACTAAAAAACTAAAACCAAAAGTTTGGCAGAAAACAAAGTCGTGCATTTAGACGTCTCTACACAGATTCCAAACCCTTCTTGGAAATTCCTAAGGTTACAGCATCATATAATCCTAATTTTCTCATAAATCAATTGCAGGAAAATTAAGAACCCGATGAACAATTTGCAGAAACAAAGAGCCTAAATTTCCCCCAGAAACACTATATTTGCAGTAAAATCGAAGAAACTTCGCAAGAACAATTGGTGGCAGCAAAGAATCCAAATATTCTCAGAAATCAATTACCCGAAACTTCCAAGTCGGTACCTTGATATTTGGAGTGATGTAGGCGAGGCTGCAGAGGTAAGCCATCTTGCCGAACAGCCGCGCCTCCGCCAGTGTCACCCTTCGGAGCAACCGAGAGAACGACTCCCTATCGAACGCCATCCTCTCCGCCTCTTCGCCACCAACCACACACCCTTCGAAGCCATGGGCGCAGCCTGCCCCGACGCACACATCGCCCTCCTCCACCACCGCCGCCTCCTCCTCCCGGTTGTCGGTCGCTGCAGCCGCCTCTTTCCTCGGCCATATCGATCCCACTCTTAGTATATTCTGCACCCAATTCCCCCTCTTTTCCCCCAAGACCGCTCCCTCCTCTGCCTCCTCGTCTTCCTCCGCCTCTTCCCTCTTCTCCTCGTCCTCGGCGCCCGCTTCCTCGCTCCCCTTCTCCATCAGTCCTCCTCTACCGCCCGGCCACAGCCGCATCATCCGCAGCGGAAAAACATACGACTGTCTTGATGACACCGACGGCGGATCCGAAGCCGACGACGTCTCCATAGCACTCCCGCCGCGGGCCAAGGCGCCGACTTTCGCAGGCAGGCGACGGCCGTAAAGCTCAACGTCGCGGCGGACGGCGATTTCAAGCCGAGTTACACCCTTCATCAACCTCAGACCGTCCATATCGCGGAAAGCCTCCACCTTTACCGATAAAAACGTCGTCTTTTGCTGTACCAGGAAGGGAGGAGCCGAAGGGAAGCGCCAAGAACGAAGCAACTGCTAAAAAAAGCGACCTTTTCCCTCTCTCGGTGTCTCTCCTCCGGCCTCGAACGGATCCGAATCGAATGGGTCGCCGTTCGCGAACCCAAACCTCCCACTTCTTTTGAAGCCTCCTCTTCGACGCGTGCTGCTGCAGCAAACCTCCCCGCCGTCGCTGTCGATTGGTCGAGAAGGAAACAGAGACGTTAAGACTCGAAAGAGAGAGATGCAGGTAGGAGGATTTGAAACCACGAGGCATTCTCACGGGGAGGCAACCGAGGACGGGAAGAAGGGACACGCTGCGAGTGGATAGATGGGACACGTCCTCAGTCGGCTGCAAGCGGGCCTTTACAGGTGAGCTAACGCCGCTGGCTTTTCCTCTTCTTGCGTTGTATTCATCTTCGTCGTCTTCTTACGGGATTCCGAGTCAAAGGCTTTTCTTGGGGGAGACAACAACCGAATGGTTGTGTTTGGATAGGCAAAAAAATAATTTTAGGTGATTTTCGAATAAAAACTTTCTTTTTTAAGTTTTCGTAGTCTCTATTGTGTAATTTTAAATATATGATTGATTGAATAGTCAATCATTAATCGATCCATCGAATTAGATCGATTCTTGAAATTCTCATAGACCGTTTCTCACTTATAATTCTTTTGCAGTATATTGTAGTGTTTTTTTTTTTTTTATTATTAAAAAGTATTATAAATATAAATAGGTTTTTTAGGTTGATTCATATATCTGATATAGGACTTATAATTTTCTAAATATTTTTTCAAAAGGATATATATATATAGGTATTTTTTAATCTATTTTTTGTGTTATAATGGTTTGTAATAGGGTTACAGTGTCTTTGAAAATGTGCCAAAAATTATTCCAAGTCATATATCCAAGCAAGATTCATAAGTACTTTCTTAACATATATTTTGAGTCTATTTCTTTTTTCTATAACCCTACTACAAAACAGAGAAAAATAATTATGAACCTTGCCTGGGTTTCAAATATGTATGATTCTTAGTCTAAAAAAAATAAACATTCAAATAGCTTGACTTCTATATGAGTTACAATTTTTTTTTAACGTGATTATAGTGGTTTTGGTATATTTTCAAAAACACTATAATATGAGGGAAATAGACTCAAAGTATATTAGAAAAATACTTATGAATCTTCCTTGGGTTTAAAATAGGTAATTTTAATTTTAAAAAATAAAATTTCAAATATTTGACTTCTATATGAGTTATAATGCTTTTCAATATGATTACAGTGTTCTTTAAAAATATTTAAACCCTATTATAAAACACTATAATAGATGAAAATGAACTAAAAATTATTAAAAAAACACTTATGAATCTTCTAAATTTACTTATAAATTTACTTATGAATCTTCTAAATTTACTTATAAATTTGCTTATCTATCATTACGAAAAATTATTAAAAAAATACTTATAATTTTATACTAGATATAGGAATCAACCTAAAATAACTCAATTATAGTGTTTTTTTAGCAATTCCAAGAAAATACTATAACAAAATAGAAATACATAGCAACTAAGAGTCGATGGAATCCTCGTAATCATTTGAGAATCAATCTAATTCAATAGACCGATTCACTTTATGAATTGGTCCATAAGAAAAAAAAGAAAGGATTAAGTAAAAAAGGGAAGCATGGCTAGAAAAACCTAAAAATGGATGGTATTTTTTGAGAAAATCTAAAGAGCTTTTATGAGAAATCTTCTAATAATCATAATTTTTTTTTGATATTTTTGGGATTAAAGGCCTTAGTTCTATATTACCTACAAGAGTATTTATTTTTCATTAGTAGTAATTATGATTATTTCTGTTCAAATGGATGGGTCTATTGTTAACCTTGTTAAATCTCGGATATTGATGATGAAATCAATTGATTAAGTTATGATCTAATCAACGTTTGAGTTGTTATGACCAAGTCAACACTAAGAGGGGGGGGGGGGGTTGGTGAATTAGTGCTTTTGTAAAAACCTCAACAATTCGAAAATTCTCGTTCAATGAAATCGTATTGAAAAGATGCTTGACTTGAAAGCGTGTTCGTAAGGTAGTGAAAGTAATAAGCAAGTAAATTAGTTTGCAATATAAATGAAAAGCATGAAAGAAATACAAACCGAGTTTTATAGTGATTCGATCATCATGACCTACATCCACTCCCGATTCCTCTTCACTCGAGGCCACCGGCTTTCACTATCGATCTTCTTTTAATGGGCGAAGATCAACTACCCTTTTACACTCTTTCTTCTTTTCACAAGTTCAGGAGAGAGCTTTTATAGCCTTTACACTTTTCTCTTTTACACTTAGACTTCATTTTTCCTTTTAGAAGAACTTCTAAATATTAGGAAGAGGTGATTCTATACTAAGAGAGATTTACAACTTTTTTCATAAGGATTCTTTCCCCCCTTTTAAACTCAATTTCGTGCTCTTCCAAACAAAAATATCTGGGATATTTATAGATCCCAAATGACTTCAAAATTGAAGCAAAAAGGGTCTTATCCTGGGTTTCACAAGTCCTGGCAGTACTACCACCTGCAACACTAACACTAGGCGGTGCCACCACTAATACTTCTAACACTGGGTGGTACCACCACTTGATACAGTCTTGAAAACTGTGTCTGGGCGGTACCATCGCCAAACCTTGCTATAGAACATTGAATGGGTTAAACAATAGACCCAATTTAGCCTTGATTCAGGCCAAATGACTCTCTAATTGAGTTAGCCTAATTCAACCTAATTACAACTTAAAACTACTTCAATCTAGACAATTATTATAAAGAATTAATAACATATTATCCGACATGTAATTGGTTCATTGATGCTTTGTCCAATCCTTCAACGCATCGTCCTCTTTTGCGGCCTTTTGTCTAAACGACATGTTGATCTCCGCAACTCCGATCTCCTTAGTGTAATGTTCGCTCTTCTAGGCTTGATGCCCGAACTCATGACATGAAGCCTTCTATCGATACGTCGATCGATCCTCCAGCTCAACGTCTAATCTTCTGATATGTTCCACTCCGACCCAACATTGATTCTTTCTGCTTTAATTGTCTCTTCATGATCGAAGCTAGTCTTGTGTCACTCAAAATGCAGATTAGATCATAAACTCTATCAATTGATTTCATCATCAAAATATGAGATTCAATAATCTCCCCATTTTTGTTGATGACAACTAATTGATGACGGAGTTTAAACCAAACTCTCCCTATTAATATGTCATATTGATATAAACATAAATTCAAATATAAATTATGAATCGAAGCAACATGTCATCATAAAATCATGCATAATCAAAATTTCAATACATCATTTCATGTATGATCATCATAATTTCTCCCTCATTATCATCAACAAAAAGGAAAAAAATGCAACTATCAAGTTTTAGAGATATGTAAGTTTAGCAATTTAGCAAATTACATGCAAGCTAGTGAGTTCTTTCTTCTCTTTTGAGGAGTGCAAGCTTAGCAATTTGTTCATTCCTTTACAATGTTCGAGCTAGCAATTTTTACTTCCATTGTAATGCGCAAGCTAGCAAGTTCATTGAGAATGTGAAGTTTAGCAAAGTTTTTGCTTCTCTTGAGATAGCAACTTTTTGTTCTTTTTACAATGTGCAAGTTAGCACCTTTTTTGCTAATTTTTATGATGCACAAGCTAGCAAGACTTTCTTATTTGAGATGTGCAAGCTTACAAGTTTTGTCTTTCTTTGTAAGCTAGCAATTTTCTTTTCTTGAGATATGCAAGAGAGTAATTTTCTCTACCCCTTTTATATTGTCAAAAGAAGAGAATGATATAATAATGTAAAATATTTCAATTATTACATGAGACATACAAGCCATAAATACAAAGAAATCATGTCATGAAATATATAATATCAAAAATCATAAAGGATTAAGTCATGAATACCAAAAGACATGATTTATTTTGATAAATCTCCCTTTTAGTAAATAACAAAAGGAAACTTTAGGAGATCAAAGATCTTGATTTATAAAAAATCTCAAGTATTAAATATCGAGAATTCAAGATTATGATTTAGATAAAAACTTTCCTATTACAAAAACAGTTATGGGAGAACATATAAAGGATCTCGATTCATGTATAATATATCTTAATTCATCATGAATCATAAAAAAATTTAAGTTATAATTTTGAAAAATCATGATTCATTTAAAAAATTCTCCTCTTTAGTAAACGATTAGAAGAAAGGAGAATTTGGTTCATGCATAAGAAATATCGAGTTATCAAGTGAAGGAATCATGATTTATGTGACAAAAAGATTATCGATTCATATATTTGAATAAATATTTTTTTAAACCATCACTATTTCAACTCATTATGCATAATTTTAAAATGTAAAACCATTAAGCATGATACAAGTATTTATTTTCAAAATATTCATCATTATTTTTAACTCAATCAATTTATCAAATCATCAAAATCACTTTCAAGAGATTTTAAATGACATAACTAGATTCATCAATCTCTTATTGAAAAATTGCTAAACCTTTAAAGAAAAAAAATACTTTCCTCTTTTTAGTTTTTATATATATATTTCTTACTAACTAATTTAAAATCATCAAACAACTCAAATAATTTCATTGTAAGGTAAAGAGGTTTTGGATGAGTCATGTATCTCATCGTCGAGAGCCGCCAAGGCATAGTTCACCACTTTGTCTTTGTTTATTTGCTTCTCATCTTCGAATGTACTCGATTTATCCCAAGTCGCCTTGAGTGCTTTCTTCTTCTTTGGCAACATCTTCTTTTTAAGTTTATTTTTATTCTTAGTTTCATATTTTATAAATTTTATAAATTTACTTATGAGGAGTTCTATGTCATCATCACTTGAGCTTTCACTTGAGTTATCTTCTTTTGTTCTAAGTACCAAGTCCTTCTTATTCTTTAGAAGCTTGTTCTCAAGTTTATCATATTCATCATGTGTCTTGCACGTAATTTCATATATCATTAATGAACCAATAAGTTCTTCCAATGAAAAATTGTTTAAGTTCTTTGCCTCTTGTATTGCAATTACTTTTAGATCCCAACTCTTCAGAAGAGATCTTAAAATCTTGTTTATAAGATCAAGATTAATAAAACATTTGCCAAGAGCTTTTAAACTATTGACAACATCCGTAAAACAGGTGTATATGTCAATAATAGTTTCGCTTGGCTTCATAGGAAACAATTCAAAATATACATCAAAAGATTAATTTTTGAGTCTCTAACTCTACTTATGCC